GGTGAGGCAGGATTTCCTCCGTCAAGCAAGGAGGCTTGGGGCTTAGGGTTAACAGGTTTATAGACTTGAAGGTTCAAGGCTTAGGGATGGCGTTTAGGGCTTAAGGTCGTAAGCTGTATGGGCTGCGGGCGCACAGGAGGTTTACCCCTAACAAACAAAGACGTCAAATGTAGGCGCATACTTATTGCACTACTTAGGCGAGGATAAGTAGGAAAAGCATGGTGGCACCAGCAAGCTGTGGACTTCCTGGCGTCCGTGCTTGGTGGAGCACTGCCTTCATGGCGAAAGCCTGCTCCAAGTCGGGACTGCCTTCATGGCGAAAGCCTGCTCCAAGTCGGGGCAGCCCGCATGACTGTGCTGAAGGCTCCCTTGCCGAGGGGCTTCCCCTCAGTGTACATCACGCGCGCCGTTGTGAATCTGATTATGCTGCTAACCACGTGTACAACCGAGCATGTTGGCTAGCTTGAATCTTTCACAGAAAGGCCAATACTCCTTCATTCAGGAAGATACCCTAAATCATGCAGGCTCCGGCTTTAGGCAGAAAATCGAGTTGCACTTCTCGAAGCAGTTCCTATCGTCGGCTCCCACGTCTCTGGACTCAAAAAGTACTGGTTCCTTCATGCGAAACATCAAAAAATCATATTCCAGCTCAATTGCCCTAGTACGCCGGAGCCTTGAACGCTAAACCGTAAAAAAGTCCCCTTTGACAAGCCAGCATTTGTGGTACTCAGCTATTCCTGACCATCCTACTACTGGTCATACTACTTATCAAGCAGCGAATATTGGTAGCCGCAAGGGAGAGGCATCAAAAGCCTGGATTTCTAGGGGTCTTCAAATAATCAAACCCTCTCAGAAGGACCCCCTCTTCAAAGCGGATGATAGAGCAATCCAAGATTCTTCTGGAGTCTCTCCTATTTCAGGGCCCTAAAGCCTTGATCCTGCCCGAAACCCTAAACCGCAAAGAACCCTAAACCCTGAACAACAAAAACAACGTGAAGACGAATCCAGCAAACTGGGAAACTGAGCGCCGCACACAGAGTCTGACAGCGACTTGGTACCACCTGCACAACTTTCAAGGAGCTTCAAGGCTAGAGTTCACATAAGGTACAGGGTTTAGGAGTTAGGGCTTATGGCTTAGCATTTAGGGCTTAGGCCTTATGCGTCGAATTTGTGTACGGCAAATTTAGCCCTTACGCGGTTTCTCGAAAAGGGCCCCTAAATACTTCAGGTAAATAGGTATTACTGAAGCATCAGGTAATATACTGAGAATTCTGGAGGTGTCATTTGCCAGAAAACCCTCAAATAGTATAAGAAGCCTATTCAGCCTATGACCCACAAGCTCTGGGCTTTAAACCACGACCAAATACAAAAATGCTCAGCCTGAAGAACTGAGCGAAGCCAAATTCTGTAGATCACATCACAAGGGCATCTTCAAACAGGCGGAGTGGGGCAGGTAGTTTCGGGGCGTAGCACCCTCAACCCGAAGGCCCCAAACCCAACCTAAACCGCAAGCCCGCAAACACCAAAAAACAAATTCTACAAAACAAAAACCCCAAACCCAGAGTATGGTGTTAAAGGAGTTGAAGGCGCCGGATTGAAGAGTCAAGGACATCCATTTTGGATTGAGGGCCTGAGGGGAGTGTAGGGTTTAGTAGCTTGAAGGTTTGGGTCCAGGGGGTGTAGAGAATCCATTTGTGAACCACCAACAGGGCTACAGTTTCAAGGGTTCTGGAGACAAACATAGTTTAAGTTGAGAATCTGAATCGAAATGGAAACATGTTCGTTGAATCGGCGCCGCTCGATTTTCTCGGGAGGTCTAGAGCCTACCCTCGGAGATCCAGTAACAATAAGTCTCGAAGACCTCAGATCCACTCTGGCCCAAACCCTTACGACTTTGTACCATACATGTTCTGCCAAGCGACAGTAAGCGACAGTCTGTAACGCATGCGAGCCAAATGGCCAAGACGGGGAACAACATGTTTTAGGATAGGGCCCCATGGCGTAACTGTGCTTTGAGGGTTCGGGTGTAAGGCTTGTCGTTTAATAAGCACTGTATCCAAACTTAATATACCCATAAGTAGTTTCCCCTTTAGGGAATTGTTTGCATACACGATGTGCACGTAAGTTACCTAGTTCTTAAGCTCCAGACCCCGACGGTGAACCCTAAGCCCAAACACAAGCCCTGAACCCCCAACCCCCTCTTCCCTGAACCGTAAATTGAAAATATCGAGACACTTGTTCGGACCCTGTATCCCGAAACTGTCGACTCAAACCCGATGCGCCCAGTGTAACCCCACGGAACCCTGGCAGCATCCATCTTTCCGGGATCCTTGAGCCCCAACTCGAAACCCCTTCAGCCCTAAAACTAAAACCCCAACTCAGCTGCTAAACAATAAAACCCTGCCTTCGTCCTTTCCGCTCTGGGGCCGGGTATCGATGACCCAGCCATAGATGGCAGCCTTCAGAGAAGTCCAGCATTTAGTGTTTGCAGCTTGGACCTCAGTTTCTTATGTCTTTGAGTTTGGGGCTTGCGGCTTAGAGTTCAGGATTCAAGGCTAAGTAAGCATGAGATTTTTCAGCTTCTGTAAACATTGCAAGCGGAGTACTCTATGATTTGTTCAGAACGCAGCCTGCTGGCAAGCCTGCTCACCATTCCAAAAGAGCAGCCAGATGCATTTAGGGTCTAGGTACATAGGATCTGGGGTTTATGGCCGTTTACGGCTTAGGCCTTAGAGGCTTAGAGTTTAGGTTGTCGGGGTCCAGGTTTAGGAAGCAGGCTGTGAGAATGGCGGTTGGGGTTGAGGGCTTACCCGGACGTTCCAATGTAGTTCCTTTTGAAATTGGGGCTTGGTATGGTTTTTTGATTCACTTGGGAGAGCACTGGGAAAATGGGAACTCGCAAACTCCTTAAAGACGTCCCTTTGAGCAGCACGACCGAAAATATTTCCCATGAAGAATCGGGTCTAATTGGCATAGGTGGCCGGGGAAGCATAGGGAGTCCTGTGAAAAGTTTAGGGTCTTGTGGTAATGGAGAATCTTGGGCTTAGGGTGTACCAGTGCAAGCATTTGGGGTTCAGAGTTTAGGGTCAGGAATAGCTACGGGCTACCTACGCCCCTGTGGACCCCCACAGCACACAACATGGCCGGACAAAGGGTCTAGGGTTCCGAGATAAATGCGTAGTTAATCCTACACCTTCAGCCCTGAACCCCTAGAGCCACAGACCTCTTTACCCTTCCATCCCTCAACCCTTAGTCCCCAATCCCTAGACCCTCAAACGCTTTCACCCCTAAAGCCCTATGCCTGGCAGAAGGCATGTGGCCCTTGTACTTTCTCCTGCCGGCGCCGCGCTCTAGGGGTTTGGGCTAAAAGAAGGCTATAGCCGAGTTTCGTAAGGAACCTACGACACCCAAAATGCTCGGGAACTCATCGATTTAGCGTTTTAGGTGTGGGGGTTTACAGCTTTGAGCTCCAAGGTTGGGGGTTGCGGACTCAGGAAATCTTGCTCAACTTCCCTGGCTGTAAAAGCGGGAATAGACGGCAGCTCGATACTTTCTTCGTACACAGTATACTCAATATACCTTGTTGCATAGGGTCATACAGGGCATAGAAACACAGAACGTCTAAGACTTGCTCTGGTTGTGGATTGGTCCGGAGTTGTCTATCAAGGGCTTCAGTTTCTGGGTGTAAAGGTGTAGAGCTTCTAGGCTTGTTTGTTGTCGGGCTTCGTGTCTCAGAGTTTGGTGTTCAAGCGTCTATGTCTAGGGAACAATTGTAAGACTACATTCTCCTCTCCCGGAGGGTACCTAGGAAAACTTGTATTGAGCCTTCCTGACTACGGAAATCCTGGTTCTGAAGAAAGCTAATTATGCGGGCCTCTTGCTGATTTGGTGAGAGGGGACGGGACATGTAGCGATTAAAAAGCGCCAGGGTTGACACATGTTCAGCTTCGACCGGAGTCTTGGCTTGGCACCGGGTCACAGTGCAGCGTCGGTCACCGCCGCGCACTCAGGCTTCACAACAGGACCAGCTTCACCGCCTGAGTGGGACTTCTCCCCCAGCCGAAACAGGCGAAGTCTGGAGTTTTGCAAGTCCTCACGAAGTGCAGATGTACACGTGGTGCTCCACGAAGTCGTCCAGACTACCGCTCTTGTGCAGCTGAGCGTCAAGGCGGGACGCAAAAAGAAGCTTGATTCAACGAAAACCCTGAAACACACCGAAAATCAGAACCCGTTGAAACTCTGACACTACCCCCCACTCTCCTTCGCTCTTGTGCCCAAAATCCTGAACCCCAAACCTTGAATCCTGAACACTTTCTTCGACAGGGTGCTGAAATAGGGAAAAAGGAAATGGATCCCTGCAATGGCCCCGACATCATTCCCAATAAGAATCCCTATAAACCATTCTCCCATTCCCTGCTACGCACCAGAGAGTCTCAGACGGGATCTCCTCCCCAGCTCCGCGCAGTGTGCCAGGATGGAGCACACGGTCCTTCTCGCCTGGATTTTGCGGGACTTTGGCGTTTGGGGAGGGTTTCGGGGTTGAGGGATTAAGGTTTAGGCTTAAGAGCTTGGGGTTCAGGTTTTGTGGTTTCGAGTTAAGCAGGATGCTCAGCGTCTAGCTCTAGAAGCCAAATTCTATATGTAATCTTTGGCACAGGGCCCTGCTCCGCATGGGGCGCAGCGTCTGGGTTTAGGGTTTAAGGTCTGGGGCTCAGGGTTCAGGATTTAGGGGCAGGGTATACCCCTTCTCATGAACATCTCTGACCTCCAAACTCCAGGACCCCAAACCACTTCACCCCTGGCCCGAACCCAACTCCGCCAACAGGCCCAAAATCGTAACTCTGATATTGCGCACATACACAGGGTTCAGAATTTAGGGTTGGGGTTCAGGAAATTGGGATCCAAGAAAACTGGGACCTGAATCATATGCAAATGTAATTGTACGCAAATTCAATGCCAGGAGCCCCTGAACCAAAAAAGGTGTGCCAAAACCCAAAACCTCAGGAAAAGCCCTTGTATGCCGGAAAGGCGCCATCCAGCCAAATCTGGAACCACTCGCAGCCGTGCTCGCCGAGGGTGAGGGTAAAGCAGAACCTCGAAGGTTAAGGGCTTGGGGTTAGGTATGAAGGCAAAGAGCCTGGGCTTCTAGGGTTTCAGTTTTGAGGGCCGGGGTTTAATGATTCTGGCCAAATAGGTCTGGGTTAGAAGGACTGTTTCGAACAACATGTCTCCAGGAACCCTACGTATCTACGGCAGCCTGGCAGCAGCATTCATGTCCATACGATGCGCCCAAACCCGAAACCTTGAACACAAAACCCCAGGCCGCAAATCGTATTTTAGTTGTGGGGCTGGGGCCCCCACAACAACGATGGCTGTTTTCAGATATAATGGGACCCCGACTCTTCGAAACATCCATTTTGAGGCAAGGCCTGTCTCGCAGGAACTTGGTTACAAGCGCAAGGCTTGTTGTGAACCCTAGTCTGCCCACGAATCTCATTTCAGGGATGGGACTGCAAAAGGGACAATCCAGCGGAGTGTATCTCAACGTCATGTGTCTTAGTTAGTGGCCACCAAAACGGACAGCCATAAGAAGGGTCCTTGTATTTGGGGGCTAGGAGGATCCTGATTTAGAAGAATACGTGGGTGCTCAAACTGTGGCAGGGAATCTGCAAGCACCCTGTCATCTTATTTACACAACTCTAAACCTTGTCTCTGAACCTAAACGCATCCCCCCTAACCAAACCCCTAAGCATCGGGCTGGTCTAAGCCCTCTCCCCGCATGCGCTCGCACTGGTCGGGGGGATTCCAAGACCCAGCAATGCTGCAGCCTGCATTGTGCTGAAGGGGGGCTTGGGGAGTGGAAAAGAAAACGAAAAAATAGCCGGGTCATATAAGGGAAGTGGACAGGAGAATGGAACTAGCATATGGGTTAATTAACGACTGTCGCAACGACAATTTCGGGCTGCAGAGTTGGAAGCGGGGGAGTGGATCCAGAGATAATAATCACTGTTGAACCTAGTTTTCCTCCCCCTCCCCCCTAAGCCACGAAGTTCCGAACCCAGGCAAGTTTGGGGTTTGCGGTGCAAGGTTCAGGGTTTAGGGTGCTGAAGAGGAGGGTATAGGGGCTGAAGGGAAGCTATACCTTGCAAGGGCGAAACTGCATTTTTCAGAAACGGGCCATATGTGCCGGGAGTTACCTCAGCAACATTCCCAGGATGTGGCAAATTTGTACAGTGGACCTATGTTTGACTTGCTGGTGCGGAAGTGGGGGAGGAATCTACCCCACACTCCCCCTGCAGCACCTGTAAGTGGCAGAGGAGCCTACGCAAGTGAACCCGTGCTGTCATATCATGTTGGGAAATTCTCCAGATATGTATGTAGAGGTTACAAGGAGATTACAATTGCTACAGGAGTCCTTGCAAAGGAGCAGGTTTAGGTACTTCAAAAACTCTCATGTGGTTCTCGTCCGGAGCTTTCAGGGTTCCAAGCTCAAGCAGCTTCAACATCAACGATGCCCTTCTGCTGACTTGCTGTGCAGCTTTATCCCAACTTGACCCCAAACAGTTTACCGTGATGCTGCTGTGGCGATACCTAGCGTCGACCCCCAAGCAACAAGAGCTTCAATGCAAAGCTTGACAAACGGACCCCAGCAATTCGATAGGATTTTTAGGCCTCCCTGACAGCATCGCCTTTGGCTTGTCTGATTGAAGCTTGGTCCGTGACCACTTGTACTTCGACAGCAACAGCCGAATTTTAAAGCGCTCACGCCCACAGGCCTTCTCAAGGTTTGATCGACCTTGTTTGTCGCGCATGGCTGGCTTGGCACCAGCTCTCAGCAACGTGCGAACAACATCCACGTGGCCACGACGGCAAGCCACTCCAAGCGGCGTCTCACCGTCATCATTTGCGCTATCCTTCTCGGCTCCTGCATCCAGTAGGACTTGCACACTGCGTGAGCTTACTAGGGCAGCCTTCCAGAGCGCTGTGTGGCCGCCATGCGCTCGTGCTTCAGTATTTGCCCTGCTTGATAGCAACAAGCGCACGGCACCAACCTGATCTGCCCAAGCTGCTATGTGCAGAGCTGTTGTGGCCATGGACCCAGAAGCATCCTCCAGCTCTGCACGAGCTTCTAGAAGAAGTTGCATATTGCCAAGTCTACCAAACGTGCAGGCACCGCTAAGAGCTCCCTCATCATCATCCGGATGCCTGTTGGGGTCCTGCGGTCTCTGGAGCATCTCCTCAACATAAGGATTGTCTTCGTCAGTGCTCGCACTTAAGAGATCAGACCTTTCACTGGGCGATGCTGTGATGAAGTTTAACAGCACAATTTGTAGGTCAAGAGGGCCCTCCAACTTGAAATCATCGACCAAAATCACACCATCATGTAGTAGCCTCTGCCGAAATCGTGGCACACCGCACGCACTCTGCAAGCTTTGCTTGAGGGCCCTCACAGTACTTGCTTCTGCAACCGGTATGGACTGAAGCACTTCCCCTGATGTCCATCGGATGTGCAACATTTGCTCGGATGGCTGCGCACATGGCATCTTTCCTGAAGCTGGATAGGGGCGAAGCCCAACTACTTAAGCAAGTGGGCGTTTCAGAGAACACCTTTGGATATCCTAACGTAGGACCTCTGATGCCATGGAGACCCCACATATATGTTGTATATGTTGAGAAGAGGGGTCATGGTCCGCTCTACCAGACAAGTTCTGGACTGCTTGTTTGCTGGAAGGCTTAAGCCAACAACCCCCAAGCCTTCACCCCAACCCCAAGCCCTACATCCTAAGCTTTATGAAGCCTTTGTAGCCACTTCCTCCCGGGCCGTTGGTATTTTCAAACGCTGGCTTCAGCCTGCACAGTGAAACCCGAGCAGTAGCAGGCACAGACTGCTCATCTAGTACCTTTAGTACCCTGTGACATCAGCAGGACTATCACGACCGCAAACCCCAGAACCATGCAACCATATCCTGAAGCTGTCGTCATTGCTGGAAACAAGGCTGCGCAACCCTTGGACTAGGTAACGCAGAGGCTTGAGTGTTGAGTGCTAACAGTTTACGATTACAGGCCAATGAACGGGTTAGGGTTCAGGTTTTAGGGCCTGTGGTTTTAAGACAACCTGGGCGGAGGTATCCTGGTTATATTTCAGAGCACAATACAGGTTCCTGTCTGCGCCGGAATCCTTGTCACCGTCAGCAACAACAGAAAACACCAAAGTGCTGAAGCTGATAGCAATAACCTCCATATCGACTTTCTGAACACCAGCCTCTAGAAAACCCGGAACTCCAAACCGTGCAGAATGCTGATTTATGCTTGAAGCATTCAGGGGACTTGTGTTATAGGGAAGGATGGTGCGAGGACCATGGTCATTGGCTATTGGGGCAACCTGCACAAGCTACCAATGGGACAAGGCAGCCCTACATGCTCAACCTCTAAAAACTCCGGATAACTTTTCCCACCAACCTTCTGGCCTCTATCCTCCCCCCAAAACCCTATACCTAGTTCTTGAAACCCAAATCCCTAGATTCCCACGCCCAATCCGCAAACCCGGAAACCCTTCGCGCCTCTCCGGGGCTCGCATGCAGGATCTAACTCTCCACCCCCACCGGGCCAAAAGGAAAGGACTTCCTGCTTTTGGGTGGGCTTAGGGATTCGGTTTTTTGGATTTAGGGTTTGGGGCTTCGAAATGGAAACTACTATGGAGACTTGTCAAAAATGGCACTATCCTAGATATGGGCTGTATTCTGACGTGGGAAAGGGACCATAGTTCTGTGGGGTCCAGGGTGGGGTGGGACTGCCCTAGGCCCGTAAATGATAACAAGATATTGGTAACCCCAAACCCTATAGTGGAGAATCAAAAGAAAAAGAAAATGTCAAATGAAACGGAAACTGGAGTTGTCCAGGGATTCATAGCAGGTACTGCGGGGAATTTGGTAACCCCAACCCGGACCCCGAAAGAAAAGGACCCCTGACGATCACATGACCCTTACAGTGAAAATGGGGCAAAGGTGAGACAAGAATAATTTGCACGCTCAATGACAATTTGCTCCTATCAGGCAAAAAATGGATGCATAGTCTTCCGGAGTGGCATTCACGTCAACATTTCAAGAATTTTGCAAAGATTCTGAAGAATAGTGTTTTGGAGTAGGTTATGCTGTGGCTATATACAGGATACCTATGGATGGTATCTCCAAACTGCTATACTAACGCAAAAACCACAGAAAAAGTAGATCTGTTGTCCAACGCTTGGTAGGACATGGTGAGAATGGGTTATAGTGGCTGCAACCAGGAATTACAGATGGGCGACTATCTGGATCCAGTCCCTGGGCCCTAAAACCTACACCCCAAAAAGAGATCTTGTAAGTTCCATTTTCTCTTCCATTCGCTACCAGCACGTAAATCGTAAACCCAATCCCTATAGAAATATTCCGATTAGCCCGGCTGAGCTTCAATTTTGCATTTTGTTTTCCATGTCCATTTGATTTTCCACTCCTTACTGGGCATAAGGTAGGTTGCGGAACCTCGCGCAGAATTGCCCGAGCTAGGTCCCGCAGCCTTGACTAGGATTCAGACATTTTGCACTCAAGCTGGTCCACAGAAGGTTGACGTCTCAGGATTTAGGGCTTAGGAATTAGGTCTTGAATGTAGAGTTTCGAGTTTAGTGCTTAGGGTTTAGCATTTAGGTGTTCGGGTTTCGGATTTGCACTCAGGGTTTAGGATATCTTTGCTACCGGGTCATTTCTAGCTTTCTGAGGACCTCCACTGTTGCAGCCCTGCTAGCCGGATGACGATGACCATCGCACTACCAATGATTCTGAAAATATTAGCTGGCTTGGGTTACCGCAACCCCCCAAAAGACTCCGATATGATCCTTATAATAGGAGTTGGGGTTATCGAAGTCCTCTTAATATATAGAACGAGGCATGACAGCATACGTGAGACTAACCATACCCATAACTTCTCACCAAAGAAGGTATTTGTGGTCTTGCAGAATTGGGGATTTTCGTATCACCCCAGGCTGTGACAGCATTGAACGAAGAGGCAGCAAGACGCCAACGATGACAGGAGTACAAACTCCCAGTGACAACGAGCGACGAGCGCACTAACGACAAACAGACTTGCCAAAATCAAAAAGATGATGACGGCATGAATTAAAATGACACTGGCAGAAGCACTGCTAGCAGAAACAAGCGTGGTATAAGGACGGCAACCGTTACAAGGTTACGAAACCTCTTGATGTTATTTCATGATACTGAAGACTGTAGCTATCATTGCAGCTTTTGCTAGACCGACAATTTTGACCTGAACCTTCGGTACGATCTCACTACAAGTCAACAACGGGAACACTCCCCTGCACCACATAATTGGCATTTTCTAGCGGCCTCTCCCAAGACTACCAATGTTCTCCAAAACAAGAGAGTCCTGAGCATAGGGAGCCCAAATGCGAGAACATCCTCAACCCTAGAGGCCTTCCCCTTTGCGCGACATAGACCTAAGAAGCAAAAGTCTATGCCCTCACACCTAAACCCTGACCCTGAACCCAAGACCGCCAAGGCTAAACGATAAACCCTTAGACCAGTAAGCCCAATCCACCAAAAGGAAGTCCTCGGCTTGCACAGGCTTCTCCATCTTCACTTGCCTGAAGAAAGGGCAGGACTCGAGAAAAAAGTCATCTTAAACCACCATCTGGGGTCAGGTCGGATGAGATTATTACAGTTCGCCCAGTTAATTGTCTAGGGACTGGGGAACACGGCTGAGGGCTTCCGGATTAGGGTTTGGGGCTTAGGGTTTGGAGTTGGGGGGCCGAAGGTTTCCGGTGGAAACGGCGGGAACTGTAAGTCAGAGCCCTCCAAAGCTTTGCGTTGCGAATGGCTTGAGAAAGTTCACAAAAATGGCTGCTACATCCCAAGCCACAAACAAGAAGCCCTCTACACTCCGTCGAACCGCCAACGCAAAGCAGCCTGAGACCGGTGCCATAACATGGATTATGCACGATGCATTCCCGTATGAGCGCGAATAAGGGCATGGTGCCGCCACAGAGCCTGTACACTGAATCTCAACACCTGAACCGCATACAACTGTACAAGCCCGCGCTAAGCAGAGACCCTACAAACATGTGACCACAAACTCTAAGCCGTAAACGCTGAAGCTCTCAGCCTGTCGCTTGCTATTGAGGATAAAGACACTGTAGTAATTAATCACTGCATATCCATATTGTGGTAAGTTCATTTCAGCTCCTTAACAGCATCTCCTTAGTGGCCATCCCCCTTCGAGCTGAGGGTCCTGTTGCAGGCGCGGCCCCACAGGATTGCGTGGGCCTTGATTCAAAACAACACGAGAGTTTTGGCATTTGGGTTTAAGGATTTGGGGTATAGGGCAGGGGGTTTGGACATACAGGGTTTAGGAACTCTTGGATTTGGCGTCTGGGGAGTAAGGATCTAGGGTTTAGGGCTCTAGAGTTTAGGGCTTGGCTAAGGGCCAACAGGATGCGGGATTTAAAATTAGCTTCCGGCTAACTAGACCCACAGCATAACAATCAAGGAAATGTTTTCCCAGCCCAAGGCGGCAATGTCCCTGAACCCTAAATCCTCCATGCAAGGGATTCCTGGATGCGTCCAAGCTTCTCCCTAGGCCCTTCCAAACACTAGAGCTTGAAAACAGAAATCCTGAACCCCAAACTCCAATCACACAACCTAAACCCCTAAAAATTCGCCAGGGTTGGGGACAACAGCTTTGTGTTTAGGATTCTTTCGGGGTTTAGACAAGCTCTCCCTATCCCAACCCCTACTGCCGACAAAGGCGCATTGGACCCGCCGATGCCGCAGGCGGTGCAGGCCACGAAGGCGGAAGTCATGCGATGGGGCCTTGTGAGGTGCAAAGATGCTAGGTGTAGGATTTAAGGTTTGGGTTTTAATTCCAAGTAGGTATAGGATGAAACATGAATGTTATCTGCAGCAGTAAGTATAAGAAACTACAGGGTAGTACCTGGATTTCTCTTAGGCTTTCCCTTGCCTGGATCAGATTTCAGAGCATAGGGTTGAGGATCATCCGGAAGCAAGGGCATCATAGGGTGTGTATGTGTGAATGTGCGTCTAAGGGGATAAAGTCTCTTTTGCAGTGCGCCTTGGGATGAACGAGTTGAGGATGCAAGGCTTGTGATTCCGTCTCTGAGGTTGTGGTGTAGTAATAGCAACGGTAATTGTAATTGTACTTGTAATTGTAATCGTAGTAATGGTAATGGCAATAGTAATAATAAGAGTAATAATGGTTTGGCAATGACGGCAAGCCTCGAGTTGGGGCTGCCTCTCTCGGGTATGCAGAAGTGCTATATCTGGTAGAGCAGGTGTTCATGGTTTGCCGAAATGGGTGCGCAATGTATACAATCACCAACATTCCGAAGGAACCCTATATACGCTCAACCTGAAGTCCAAGCTCAGGGTCAAGCTCCAAGGCTTGGTAAGCTCAAGTTTGGAGTTTGGGATACAGGTTTCAGGCATTCTTTGACTAAGATGTACGTTGAACGGGTTGTGGAAGTTAAGGCCGTTAAGGACAAGGGCTGACACTACCCGGCTTTCTAGGTTTGCCAAGGTACCGCCCTCGCCTCTTTTGAGAAACTCCAACAGCAGTTTCTGGATTATAGCACTGGTTCTCTGACTCTGTATGCCACCAAACCGAGGGACCTCGCTTTTTCGATGGCTAATAGCAGTCGTGTATCTGGCACCCAGGAAACTGATTAAGACCAAAACTGTGCGGTTGTCATATTCCTCATTGGGCTCTTCTGAACCAGAACTTTGAGAAAAAAACGGAGGACATTCACCTACCTTGAACCTTTCGTCCTCCACCCCGAAGCCTACGCCCTGAAGCTTGCACGCGTAACGCTACGCCTTGAGACTCCTCACCCTGTATTTGTGCTCCTGCAACCCTCATCCCTGTTTTTACCCTAGGCTTCGAATCCTACACCCGGCAGCATACCTTGAAGGCATGAGCTTTGCAACGAACACAGGAACAAATGAAATGAGAGCATCTAGACTATAGTCACAATCCTACGATTTGGGGTGCATATGGTAGATGACCAGCAGTCCAATTTGATGATGGCCCATCTGTTGAGAATGCCAGTATGGCTCAAGAGCCAATTACTCTAACAGACCAAGGTGTGGACACATGCTCAGTCGCCAGGAACATGGGCACGTTGTCCTGGCCAATAGCAGCAACATCACGTGGGCATCCGAATGCTTGGCGAAAAAAAACACTGCCCTATACTGACTACTGTATCCCAAGCTACTACATGTCTATCTTCTATACTGCTATACTAGTAGGCTTCGTACTAATACCACAAGAAACAGCGCACCACAAACACAAGTCGCCTTTATGTAGGCAGAACCTCCCCACACTCGAATCCCAAAGCCCTGCATCATGCTTCTGGGCGCTTACGGCGCTTAGGGCGCTTAGGGTGCTTAGGGCGCTTAGGGCCTAGGGTTCAGGCGGGACTCCATGCAAAGAAGATGAAGTTTATACACCCTCTCATTCACCAGGAACTTGACTTTTCAAAGCGTAGAAAGCCTTTCCAGCTCTGCAGATTGCTTGACAGGTGTTCTTGAACGACTGGAGGTGTCATTGTATACGTACACATGTACATCTATGTGTATGTGTATACATACATATATATATATTGGCTACTATAGCCCGTTCCCTCATGATCCAGACCTCGCCGTCATATCACTACTGCATTAGTGCAAAACTCTATTGTCTAGCCACCTACATTACATGTACGCACATACATTCATATACATATGAATAAACATATACATGTCGTATACATTTACATGCACTTGCCCTCTGAAGCTCACAGAGACATCCACTAGACCCCAATGGTCCCAAGGTACTGTGCACGCCTGAACCGGCCTTTGTTTTAATGAATGAAAAAACAAGATCACTTAACGATCAGAAGAGGAAATGAGCCTCCCAACCAGGGATCTTACAGTAGATGGAAGACATGCCGCGGCGCCAATTACATCCTGTACCTAGGACTGCCTCGGAGATCCTATATAAGTGGCGTCAGATTCCCCCAAAACTTTGAATGACGTTTTGTCAGGTTTAGCTTAATTAGGGTTCATGCCGCCAAATTCATTCCATGGTACTGTAGGGGCCTATTTGGTTAGAAGGTCTAGTGCTATAAATATACCAGAACTATGAGAAAGTATTGATTACACTTCCGGTTTCTACATTACCCCGACGTGGCGAGCCCCTTCCCCCCCCCCCCACAACCCAAATCCTACACCCTAATCCGTACTCCCGACGATCATCCCCACGTGCGCGCATCTACCCAACAAACCCTAACCCCTCAAGTGTAAAATTCGAAAACACAACTCCCGAAAACCGGAATCTCAAATACTCCGAGTCTGGCCTGGAATCCTCCACAAAATCTTACTTAGCTGGTTATGGGGATTTTGTATATTAGCAAAAAAACTGTTCAGTGCATTTGCAGCCTAGACACTAAATCCTAAACCTCCTCCAACCCTGGATACCCTAAGGCCCTAAGCCCTAGACCCTGAACCCTCAAGCCAAATCCCCCAATCCTAAACGCAGCCAAGGCGCATCCGCGATGATGTGCGGGTTCAGCTTGTGAAGGTGCAGGGAGGGCGGCATGCAGCCCATTGCCTGGATAGAAGCAAATTTCAGAGGGTGGATTTCGGGACTAGGATTTCGGGTTCGGCCGTTAGGAAGGTTTAGACTTTGGGCTTGGGATTCAGGATTTCAGGTTTGGGGGCAGAGCTGTTGCCAAAGGTTAAAGATGTGGGCCTCTAATGGGGCATACTGGAGGCCACACGTGTACCATTAGATTTGCTTTTTGAGGCGTCTAGCTCTAGAGTTCAAGGTGCAGAGTGTTTGGCACAGATACTACAGAGATTACGGCGCATGCCACAGGCCCAAGAATAAACCTAAAACTCTTGCTCGCAGCCCAACGCTACTAATACCACCACCACCACCACCACCACCACCACCACCACCACTAATTATCCACACTGATCTGGGACCTCCTTCAAGGATCTTCGTCTCGCCGTCCCAGTGGGGGCTTCAAAGTTGGGGTCACCTGGGCATCTCAAAACATCAATGTAAACCCATGAATTTGAGAGGCCCAATCTCTGAACCCAAAGACGCAAGCACTCACCCCAATCAGGACCTTGAATCAATCCAAAACCCTGAAGGCTGCGCCCCAAACCCTCGAAATGACAATGGGTTGCCCCCCAATTAAGGCTCTTTTTGGGGAGTTCCTGTACTAAGTATTCTCATAACTTTAAGGCAATATTTGGCGAAAGACCCCATGTGTTGCCTGTCCCACGATCACTCGCAGGAGCGCTGCCACACCCGATGCGGGTCGCATGTGGCCTTGAGCGATAGAACGAAAGGAACGAGGAGGCTCATAACTTGGGTGTTTGGCACTCAAGTTTTTGTGGTTTCGGGTTCAGGGTTCGGGATTTAGGGTCCAGGACTTACAAATTTGAGGTCTTGTGGCCGCTGTAAGAATTTGCCCATCTTTCCGCCACCATGAAGCACTGTGGCTTGAAAGGTTACCTGATTGAATCTTCGTAGTAGAGGTTCAATGAAATTACTCCTGAACCTCCAAGTACTTTTCAAGCACTCTTTCAGTACCAGTTTTCTGGAGAAATACTTGCTGAAATTCGACTACTTGTTAGAATCGGGGACGGGGAGTAATAGTAATGCCTGGCATCCAAACACCCTGACAAAACATTTAGAGTTTTGATGCTGCCTAGCAACAAGTAAAGAAAAAGCTGAAAGTCCTAAGAGACCGGCAAAGAAGAGTCACCATTACCACTATTCTTTCTATTCTTCCCTTTATTCAAGAAAGAAGTGCTAACTTGCGTGGGCCCTTGCTTTGAGTTACACGATTTTCTGGCTACACGAGTGTCTGGTTTCGGGTTTGGAGCTTGAGCATCTGCAGGTTTCGGGTTTAGAGGGTTTGGCCATTCGGAATAAAGGCTTTCAAGTTTCATCTCATCTTTCATGTGGCATCACACAGCTCATGTGTTCATTATTTCAAGAATTTGGGAACTTGGTGTCAGGCCAATTTTGTTGTCAACATAAAAGCTGAGGCTGCAGGTTCCGGGCTCCTGAACCCTAAGCCCCTAAGTCCCCAACAGCCCCAAAGTCTAAACCCCAAACCCTTAAACTCCAAACCCTAAGCCCATAAGCGAACAACAAAAGAGCTAGAACCACAAAATCCCAACCCTTACACCACTAAAACCAACAAACCTCTGCATCCTGTGGCCTCAACAATCGTTTCAGTTGGAGCTTCCTGCTTAGCGCTTTAGCCAAAGAGTGATTATTTTCTGCAAAGGCTACTGCCTTTCTGACAAGCGCCGTTTCAGCATCCCTGTTCGTGTGGGGGAGGGTACACGGTTTGGGGTTTAAGACTTAGAGATCTAGCAGGGTTTGGGTTGCGGCTTAAAGTTTAGGGCCGAAGGTTTAATGCCCATGTACTTCCAATTAGGAGACACCCTCGACCTGACTATCCCAGGTTTGGATGCTGGACGACGACCTCTTCCAAAAGGCAGAGAGGAATTTCGTCCCTACCTAAATCCTTACTAAACTATGTAAAAAAAAACTCCGGCTCATGTTCAAACCTACCCCTGCAGAAGCCTCCAGCAGCAACAAACCCTAAATATTCCACTCGCCGTAAACCCTAAACACACCAGCAAGGCCGAGGGTCCATAGTTTGACTTCGCTGCCAACAGGCCAAGGACCTCTTCCTCCTCAGCATCCTGGTCAAGAAGATCCTAGGTATAGATAGGTTTATCTGGGAGTATGTAGATGCGTATACATGTACATATATATATATGTATCTATATATATATGCTGTGTCATCATATATAACGGCATATGCTGATGAAAGTAAGAGAATCTTCTCCATTTTATGGGCTTAGGGGTTTGGGATGTTAGGGGTCTAGATCAGAGGCTTTCAGGGTAACCAAGAAGATATTTCAGGGATTAGGTGTTCCATCTTGTGATAATATTATGCCTCGTGGCCTCATATTGCTTGTGCAGTTTGGGGAAAAGGAGATTTTGGTAACCCGCAATCCTAAATGGGGCTCCCATGACTACCACATGACTCTTATAGACCAGGGTTGGGGGGATTCTATAGGTCGTTCAGGGTCTGGGGGGCTAAGGTTTTTGGAGTTGGGGTTTGAGGCTTTAGGGTTTCAGGGTTTCAAGGCCTGTGAATTTGCGGGTTTGGGAGGTCAGGGAGGGTGTGAAGTCCAATCCTACGGACACCCGCGACGAATGACACATGTTTTGAAGCGTCCCTCGCCAACATCTCGTTGTACAATCCGCTCGCGGCTACTAGGTCCCAGAAATTATCTCAAACTGAAACCCCACATCCGCTTCCGCTTCTAAACTACCGTCCTATACATTTCTTGGAGCTTAAGCTGGAACGGGTGGGAGGATTTACTGACGCTTGTGGTGGAATGGGGGTGAGGGGAGTGGCGGAGAGAATGCCCTTAAAAATGATAGGGCCCTCAATCCCAAACCACAATTGCACCCTCGGCACTCTCCACAGAATCTTCAAATCCTCAATCTTAAATCCTAAGCCCTTAACCCCAGACTGGCAAAGCCCCAGACCCAGAAGCCTCTGCCTCTACCGGATTCTAGCACTGAACCCTTAAACCTGTGCTCTGAACCTACGCCCTGATCTCTAATCTCTCAACCCTTCCTAACTACGGAGCCGGAATCCTTAACCCTGAAACCTAAACTCGTAACCTTACAGCCGTAAACTTGACACTGAACAGCTGAACCCTAAATCCTAATCCCCTGCCTCTTTTTCGCAAAGGGATCGGTAGGCACGGCACAGTGCAGTAGCCTACAAGTCAATGAATTTCAGCAGGGGCTGGGTTAAGGGTTAAGTTTTGGGGGTAGAAGGTTGAGGTTCTAGGATTTTGGCAGGGTTTGGGCTTGGGGTACAGGATTTAAGTACCGAAATTCGAGGAGCCTCAATCGTAGAACTTGACTTCTACAAGACCTTTGGCTGCAGAACCTGAATCCTAGACCCTAAGCCCTGCATCCTAGACCCGTGGTTCTCTCGCTTGAGGGGTCTACGGGTTGGACGTGCTAATCCCAAATCATGATGTTTTCATGATCACACAAATTGGGATTTGCCCTACCTAGCCCTACACCCTGCCTCGACTGCATCGGACAGCACGTTGCCCGACGCGTTACACCTTGGCATCGCTTTATAAAGGGACTGGAAACTTGGAATGAGTTTTGGGTCCAAGGCTTAGCGGTTGGGCCACCCTAGCCGTAAACCCTAGATCCTCAACCGGATAATCCCTAAACCTCAAATTCTAAACCCATAGTCTCAACATGGTCTCACACATCTAGAAGTCAGGGCTTGAGACCAGGGATTTCCTTAAGGCGTTGAGTTTTGGGAACAAACGAAAGAATGGTTTGGGGTTGAGGTATCGTTGGTGTTTCCTAGACTAGCTAAAGCAAGGACTGAAACGGATTTGCGATTCATTACAACCCCCAGACCTGAAGCCTAAAAACCTAACTATCATGCCAAAGTAGAATTCTACATAATCCTACACCGAGGAAACCCTGCACCGCCCCAAGTTCCTTTTTATGTCATTGCAAACTACAGGGTCTCTAGCTGGTGCAAAGTTCCCTCCATCAACACTAATCCCCAATCTAGCCCCAAAACCGAAAACGCCAAGAAGCTCCACCGCTTCGACATCCAGCGGAGAGATGTCGGCGGTGCGAACTGAATTGCCCACCAGCTCCTCTGACAGGTGCTGTCGAGTTTCGTGTTGAGGCCTGCTAAACGGTCGCACTAGCTTCTTGTCAGGAGGAGAATATACTATGACTCGGACTGTAGCAAGGATCTCTCCAGTGCCTGCCTGATACATCGCCCCGCTGGGCGCCGAGAGGGATGCGGAGCGACCTTGGTTCAGAACTCAGCCTTTTAATTCAGGGTCATTCAAACTTAGAGATGTAGGTTGTGTAGGTTTAGGTGGGGTTTCGGGCCTAGGGTTTGGTTTAGAATTGAATCCGACGGTTGAGTGTGTCATGGCATGGGCTGTAACAGGAAGTTGCAGGAACGATGCTAGCAAGTACTCATAGGTTTGAGTGCTGGGAGGTTTAGGTCTAAGGTGTTCTTCGGGCTTGTTTTTTGGGTTCTTAGGCAGGACCATGCAAGGTATTCCCACAGTGAGCCTAGAAGGCTAAGACATGAAATGTGTGCCCCTTTTCCCTCCTGTAGGTCAATCGGTAGGGGTACTAATGTTTCAACTTTCTGGCTTCTGATGTCCAGTAACCCACACTTATATTCAAAGACAAATAACTCTGAGTGGAAGGGTGGGAGCAATCGCTCCTTTCGAAACACTCCCACATACTCCCCCTCAACCATTGCCACAAGTTGCCACCAGCTTAATAAGAGGCTTTTGGTAATTAACACCAACCTCAATCCTACGATAACAGCAACCTAAGCTATTCCCGTAACTCACCAACAAGTTCCAAAAAGCCGTTGTTGTTGATGTAGCCGCCGCTCGCGAGGCCAATGATTGGCGGGTCCTCCACTCCCATGCGACGATAGTGTCTTTTCAAAAATTCGGGCTGTGCTTGGGGATCTTGTCTGGTTGGGTGTGTTCTGATTGCAAAGGCCTTCTGCAAAAAACACAGATGGGAGTTGCTCGAAACAACAAAAATTCCGAGAAAGGAATCCGAGAATCCCCGTATGATCCGAATATCCCCGAGGCCCCTATGGTACCACTAGCGTGGGAACCCCATAAGGTCCCTTTGTTGGGCGCACCGGCAGGAATCCTGAGGCGCTGCCTGGGCTAAAGCAAAATTCTTAATAAATGGGGTGTAAGAGGACATGAACCCTACAGCATTGTAATCATAAAGAACATAGCCGCTCACTTCTCCCTCCACTACATACAGCCCTTGCTCACCAGATACATAATGCTTTCGCATTATGAACCGCTGTCCTCATCGATGACCTTCTTGCCGTCCACTTCCTGGCGCTTGAGAGGATTCAGACTTCACGAGATAGAGGCACCTTCAACTTAGTCGGGTGTACGGCTAAGCCTTGTCCTTGGGGCACAGAGCCCAGGGCTCAGGGGTGAATGTACATGTCCTCAACTACCCTTAGACAATCACAGTATGCTGCGCACGGCTGCTTCAGACCCGTGGCTGCATTGGTCCTACCTGCCACCTCAACAATCCTGGGGATGGAAAAGAACATGGAACTGCAAAAAGGGTGTTAGCGTTTAACGGAGGAAGGGGTCTCTATCGCAGTCCCAGATACCTTGATGGTGCTCTCGGTAATACAACTGATCATTCCGTGGTCACCACAGGGTTCCAGGTTTGGGGTGTAGCGGCTGGTCATCATACAACCCGATATTCCTGAACACCAAACCTTAATCCTTCGAAATTCGCTTTTACACCCACTGCCATGAAAAACAAGAAACCAGCACAGATTGTTTTGATCAGTTGCCTGAGTACCAACTGGGTCGGCTGGTGGGTACAGCTTTGTGGGCTTAGGGTTCAGCGCTTCAGGGGTTCTGGGGAGTTTAGGGCCTGGAGGATTTAACGGTTTTTGGCGTTTAGTTTTCTAGTGGTTTATACGGGACTATGTTGAACCAGCGGCAGAACTGCTGGGAAGCATCTGAATCTGAAGCTGGTTTCCCTCATAGGATTCTTCAACCCTGCCCCTAAACAAAAAGATCGCGGGGTGTTTCCTCAGCCATGTTTGGAGGTGCCGCTTTGGAGGTTGCGGGAACCTATTTAAGCTCATACCTTGTGACCCTATCACGTCGAAACTCTCCAGCCTCAACGTCCAAGAAATCCAGATTGACTACAGCTTCGGAACATCCAAACATCAAACGAGTATTGCTTTTGATTGAGGATTTTGCAAGAAGGGGACCCTAGCCTCGAAGCTGAGGACCCTATGACTGTCACATGACTGTTACGGGGTCGTCAAGGGTTAGGGTTAACAAAGTGTGCTAACTGAAGAGGGGCTCTACAGTTCTTTTTTTGGTTGCTTCACGGTGCCTCAGCACAAGGATCTGAGCTGACTTTGTTCAACCATAAAAAGCGTATAAACACTTGTGCAAATACAGGAGTTGAGCTGTTCATGAGGCCCAGGCTGCAGCCACTGTTGATAATCGCTTCTCCCGAATGTTAGGACTCCCATGTTTATGTATGTACCCTCAGTATCCATGGCCTCACTTTAGGGAATGCGAGACGCTGTTTGCAGAGTGGGGCTGTCTGATACTGGGAGAACGGATTAATTGAGATCCTGCGTGGCTCGGCAATTTAGATGATAAGGTTGAGGGGCTCTAAAACCTTTAGGCTTCCGGTAATTTAGGTCATGAAGGGCTGTGGAATTCCACGGCAGCATGCCATCCATCGGGTCGTGCATGCCAGTCCTTGGCGGCCAGCGCGGGACACCAAGTTGCTGCAGGCCATCGTTAGGCTGCATGTGCTGTGTCGTGCTCCATTTAGACCAAACCGAAAGGTCCACTCTCGTCAGCGCTGCGAAAGCATATTATGCCTTCCACTAGTGATCTCCTCCATCATCTCAAAGGACAATCCGCATCAGGGACGCCCGAAGCTACCTGGCCTTCTGAAAGCGCCGCTTGCATGTCTGGCAAAGACTCGTAGGCTCAGACTTCTACCGGTGCTGCACATACTAGTGGGGCATGACATGAATCACGTCGCAAAATTGTTGTAGCACAGGACTTTTCAAGGGAAGCCTTTTGTTCTGGAAGTCCTATCATGCTTCCCGCAATCTCTCCCTGAAGCCTGCTCAAACAGCTTACTGTAAAACACTATAAGCAAGCTCTGAACTCTAACGGCCTAAGCCCTGAAACCCTAAACTAAACCCTTCACTGCCTCAAATCCGAAAGCCTTCAACCGTAAGCCCAACCCTGAACGTTAACCCTGCTCGGCTCTTCGAACCATGAACCACATCCCTTGCTGGTGGAGATCACACCTTCTTCAGCGGGTTCACGTAGAGCCCTGTGAATCCTTCGCCTGCAGATTGAACACGTGTGCTAAGCCACCCGCCGCCCCAACTTTGGGGATGTACTGCACAGGGACTAGGAAGAATGTAAACCCAAGCATTTATTTGATGACTTCGCACAGGCCCTAACTGCATATAGTTAGATGCCTCCCAGGGTATGCGAGGGATTGTGACTTAAGTGCGGGTGGCACCTGCAGGGTTGAATCTACAGAAACAAATGAAGGAGTACACAGGGGAGTGATCGCCCAGGTTCTTGTCGCCATTGTCATCTTCCAGAACACTGAAGCTTTCTAGAGAGAATCTGTTGACCTCTTGAGTAATGCTCCTTTTGGTGGTTAAAGCAAGTAAGACGATGTACTCATGCACTTAAGATTAGAAGCAAACGGAACATCCATTGGGAGGACTGCCACACCCGTACAGAATCTTGATCCATGATTAGGGGACCTTCTTGTAGGGGATGGGGCTAGCAAGCCCTTGAAATGACCTATCATACATGCCTACAGAACCCCTCATGGCCCCACGTGCCATGTCCCTTTCCATTTGTTGCTAGCAAAATCCTCTCATTAAAAACTCTTCGGTTTCGAGAAGAGAGATTTCTTTTGGCGCAGCAGAAGCGGTGCACCTTAAAGGGTGTACCGTGAGGTGATCAAGGTCTCTAGGGCTTTGAGTTTTCAGGTTTAGAGCGCATGCAGAAGTCCAGCCAGCAGTTGGGATATACCCTGAACCGCTAGACCCAAATCCCTAAACCCTTAATCCCCAAACCTTGTAAACCCTGAACCGATAAACCCTAATGCTAAAATCACCCAACAATTGACCTCCGAACATGAGGCGTCAGGAAACGGAACCCCCCTAAACTGGCAAAAAAGGTTGCAGGGCTTTTGTAGCAGGCTGCTGCTGGATCCTAAGCCTGCCGACTCCAGCGGTTTAGGTTACAGTTCAAGGTTTTCATTACGAGGCCTTGGGTTGACCGTAGGGTTCAGAGTTCAGGGTCTAAGGTTCACGGTTTCGAGTTTGGGGTTCAGAGTCGAGGGTTGTGCGGCGTCCTTCGGCGGATCGGTTTACGGTTCCACGTCTCGGAGGGTAGAGACCTGCTGTGTGCCCCAACCATGATTTACGCTTCTCCCTACAGAGTCGTACAACGCGGAAATGCAGCACAACCTCAACCCCAAACCTCAAAGCACCTCAGACCCTCGAGGCACGGCCCTGGGTGATGCAAGATTTGCTCGATCAACAGCACTGGCGTAAAGGGGGCTGCCTTCAGAGGCTCCCCCACAATCACTACTCTTCTTCATACTCCTACTTACTACCATGATGTTCTACCATTGCATTCCTACTGTTCCTGCCAAGTTTCTTACCCTACTATTACAACATGTCTAATTACTGCTATTATGGGGTTGTGGTGAATCTAAATTCAAAAACCCAGATCGGCCGAGTGGTCCTAGGGCTGCGTTGGACCCTAGGATATCTAGGGGCTATAGGGAATCATGAGCGCATAATACTTATTACTGTACATGAACAAAAATGTGTTCAGCAACTCCTGTGTCAGAGTCTCCTTAGCAAGGGACAGGACCCAAACCCACAACCCTGAGCAAGAGCCTCGAATGTAGCCATCGGCGTAGCTGTCAAAGCTAAGACAACCTCACGCGTCTTAGGTCTTGGGTATAGGGATTAAGCTTGGGGGCTTAGGCTTCGAGGTTCGGAGCATCCGCAACATGGCGAGGTCTAAGAATAGGGCCATGGGTGCTTCACCGCGGGCATCAACACTCTTTCCGTGTTTCATAGCAGGACCAACGATCCAGCATTTGGGATTTACTTTTTGAAGTTGCGACTAAGAAGCGTGTCTGAAACCAGCGGCGCCTGCGTCTGCCACTAAGAGGCCTCTCGTACCAAGACTCCCAACAATCTAAGACCTTCACAACCCAAAAACCTGAAGCACAAGTCCTAACCCTAAACCTCAGACCCTACTCTAAACTCTGAATTCTGCAGCCCAAGAATAAGACGGCAATCCCTACAGAAGAGCCTAGCGGCGGCCTTCGGTTTAGTATCGTTGTAGAGTTTAGTGGTTTTTGGGTCGATGCCTTAGTACAGCCCCCAACCATTAACAGACCATACTAATTACCATGATTATCCAATTGTTTCTGGGTGGGGGCAGTATCGAAGTTAGGGTGTAGGGTTGAGTGGCTGAAGGTTCACCTGCAAGAGTTTAGAGTTTGGGGTGCAGGGTTCAAGGTTTAGGGTTGCGGGGCACGCTTCCTGAACCGCAAACCCGAAACTCTGAACTCAAAGCCACAAACCCCAAACAAAGAAACCTGTTCAACCCAAACCCAATCCTGTGTACCCATCGAAGCAGCATAATCTTTACCACTTCTGAGACCCTCATCCATAAGGGCGTCTCACAAAAATAGGGCCCAGCTTTGTGTGGGGGTAAAGAGGACATGATAAAAGGACAAGAAGTGGACTCCTTCATATTCCTCTTAGCCGTATCCAAAACCAAGTACCCTCACCAAACAAGCATGCAACTCCAGGTAGGCCTTGTGTTAAAGGACCAGAATCTTTATAGGGCCCTGTTGAGTCCCATGCTTGCTTGGACAAAATGCAGAAGCCGGGCAAGTCTCTTTTTCAGCTCCCAAACTTTAAGCCCTAAACCACAAACAGCAGGCTCCACAACCCCATTTCCTGCAACCCCCCCACAGCTGGAGCCAAGCCACGGCCCTTCCTGGACAGAACTCCTGCCCAACCCAACTGCCTTGGGTTGAAAGGAGTTGAGAATGGTTAAGGGTTTTGGGATGAAGTTTACGCGTTCAAGTCTAGGATGCCTGGGCTTTGGGAAGGGGTGCAGAGCTTAGGATTAATGGATTAAGATTTAAGGTGTGAAGAAGGGGCACCTGGGAAAGGATGATATGTGGGGACAATGCCGGAAGCATCGGGGACTTCCTTGAGGATTGCGTAGGGACTTCTTTTCTTAGCTCCAATGTGAGGGCTTGCGGGGTTGGAGGATTTAGTCAAGGGCTTGAAGTGACGAGATTGTCCTATGTACAACTGTACCTCCAAGTACTCAAACTCACAAGGATTTTGGGCTCTAGGGTTTAGGCTCAATGGCAGGGCTGATGCGGACGGCTCTCCGTTCAGGGTCTAGGGTGGAGAGTTTAAGGGCTGCCAGACTCTGATTTCGGGGTTGTGGCATTGGATGATGAATGTAACAGCAAGAATAAAGCTATATGGGCAAATCAAGGACCCTTTCTCCATGGACCAGACTTTAGGGTGCAGGGTTCAAGGCTTGAGGTTCAGGGATTAGAGTTTACAGCTTGGGGCTTAGGTCTAGGAGTGTAGGGGCTTGAGGGTTGCAACAACAGCACATGAGCGCTGGTCATGCTCGTTCTGTGGATGACCTTATGGGACACAATATCCTAGTAACTCAGGAAAATCTCTGCAGGAACCATTTAATGGTTTCGTGTGGCTGCAAGGCACACATACATTATGGGGATTCTAGGTGTGGCTTTTCTCTATCCACCTTTGCACGAGCCGGGATAGTCCTGCAATCAATACCGTGCGGCCTTTAGGATTCGGGGCTGGTCCAGAGCCCAGGGCTTAGGTTTTCGGGTCGAACCCTAAACCGCTCTCGGACGGCAGAAGCCAAAGACTCAAAGCCCAACCCCTAAAGAGCAAAATCCTAAACCCGAAGTATGAACCCTTGAACCCTGAACCATGTTTCCCAGCAACTTGCAGGATTTGGGATTGAGGATTTTTATCTAAGACGGCCAATGGTCAAGTACAGGCGCTTTTCAAAAGGAGGTGCCAAGAGGGATATGGGTGTGTTCTATGGTCACATTGAGATTCTTGAGCATAGTGCTTAAGGTTTCAAATCCATGTCCACGGAAATCTTGAAATGATGATCCATGATTCAACCTGTGAACATTAGATTAGTGAAATGCCCTATACCCTACTCGCGACAAGATCCCGATAAAGCTCCAAATACATCCAAGACAGAAATAATCCCGATGCCCCCAAATCTCTAGAACCCTATGTGTCTTAATAAGCCGGGTGACAACAGGCCCTGTGGGTGGACGTTGCAATCCACCCCTAAGGCTACAGAGCCAATGCACTGAGCCTGGGGCAAAGGATTTAGGTGTTGGGGTTTCAGGATTTAGTGGGCTGCATTTGAGATTCAAGGCTTCGGGCCTCGGAGCTTGAAGTTGGGTGTCGTGTAGGGATGAAGGCTTGGGGCTTAAAGCGATCTTCAAGTAGATAGAATTAGTGGGAGAAAAGGAATATGCCGTAGCCCGTAGCCTGAGCCCCAAGCCCTAGACTGCTATCCAGAAACCGCAAACCCCAATCCCCAACTGGTTGGAGGGGCCTGAAACTCGAGTGAGCGCCACAGCAATCCCTGAAGGCCCTAATCCCTACACCCTAAGCCCAAATTCGTCTCCTTAAGTCACATCCCAAGCACCTAAACCCGAAAATTTATTGAACTCCAAACTCCAGATTCCCCATATTTAATTGAACTGAGCCCCTACACCTTAAGCCCTATCCCTGCAACCTAAATCCTGATCTCAAAGCAATGAACTAAACCGTTTAAACCCACAACCCAACTTGCCATTGCATTTTCTACATGCTGAGCCGTGAGCCACAAACCACATGCATGCCCATGCTTGGCTCCTACCCCTGTCAAATGGTCTGCAGAGGTCGCATTCCAGTTTCAGCGCAGACTCCGCCGTGCCATGCCCTGGCCTGAGGATGACGATGACGGTACCATCACCACATCGTGGGAGAGGCGGACATGTCATTCCAGGTTCCAGCAGCTCACTGTTCACAACTCTTCAAAAGAAGACTTGCATGGCTCTTGCAAATGCCTTGGAACTTACAGAGGGCCTTACTTGCTGGGCCTGCACCACGTCGACTTCTGCATCGCCATCCCCCAAGCAGCCTGCAGCCCAACAACCTCTGCCTGTAAGTCCTAAATCCTAATCCCTAAACCCCTAACGCATAAGCCCTGTTCGGGGCTCTGTGTTCGGTTGGGTGAAGGCAAACGTTTGTGATAGCGTAGGTCCCTCCAATCCCAAATCCCTAAACAGCAGACTCCCCTGACCCTGAACTGGACACTTGAACCACAAATCCCTGACCATCCAAAACCCTCAATTTGATTCTCCATTCTTAGCCTTGATCACCCATATTGCCTGCAGAAACCCCTCCCCAAAAATTCTAAACTCTAGATCCCAAATCGTAATGCGCAAACCACAAAATAAACCGTAATCCCAAACCCCTGAACCCCTTACCACTACATCCTTAGACTAAATCCCCAAATCCCTCCTCTCCTTGTCAGGCTGAATAGAATCCACGGCCAAGTTGAAAGCTATCAACGAGGCCGAGCCTCCGGGAGGAGTTTGGGGTGTAGGCTTTAGATTTAAGGCATTCAAAGTATATGGGAGATAAAAGAAATTGATATTGTCGAGCAGGTATGGGAAAGAACATGGACGCTCCCATTTAACGTTTAGAGGTTTAGGGCCTGGTTTAGGGGTAGGAGGGTTCCTGGAAGGGCTGCTATGTTTTTTTGGAGAGGGTTTCTCACAACAGGGTGCTCGTATGCGCTTTGGGGGTAGGCTTTGGAGTTGAGGGTTTCAGGGTTTAATGAGATTTCAGGACTTTGGGGTTCTAGGATTTTGGAGCTTAAGGTTGAATATGGGCTCTGGGTGTAGTCTTTGGAGTTAAGATCTTCGTGATAATGCAAAGGGTTGAGTGAGGGTTTGGGGCTTTGGGGTTGGGGATTTGTGAGTACGAGAAAAGAATAAGGATTTACGCTTTGGGTGCAGGGCAGAGGGTTCAGGGTTGAGGATCCCGCGCCGGGGTCTCAGCATTCACGATGGCAGTCCCAGGGGCTTGATTTGGGTTCCGGGTTCCAGGCTTTTGTGACTGGGTTTAGGATTGGTCTCTGAAGCGAGCAGGTTGCTCTGAGAAAGTTGAGCTGGCTACAAGACCCATAGTTTGACCGCCTAATCCACTGGACTTTAAATCAGAATCTAGGTCTTGGTTTTGCCTGCTCACACGTTGAATGGAAGGTCCTGGCATATTTTTTGGAAATAGGTTTTCAAGATCCGCTGTTCTCCACAACACCGAGCAAACCCATGGCTAAAGGGGGAAGGGCTACAAGGGCTGTAAAAGGGTTGTAATGCATTTAGGGACTGCTACAGTGCCTGAGAACTAACTCGGGACTTTTCAGTCTAAAATCTAAGCCCCAAACCCTTAACAGCTCAGCCTGATGGTCATTGTGCTCATACAGCTCACGGCACACGGCTGGGGTCCGTGTGTATATTGCAAAGGAAGAAGTTAAGTCAAGTATGACCTGCAAAGGCTGGAGTTCACTGGTTTGGAGGGCTGGCACTCAAGGACTGCAGGGTGTAAGTGTATGCCGCCGGAGCCCAAGCTGAAGCAGTGCGGGGTGGGACCCTTCGCTTTCCATGACGTGCCATGCAAACGGTTCCATTGCACGAGTATAGACCGCATCCGCTGATCAATGGCAGCTGGCAAAATACTCAGAATTACCCTTAGACATGACATCGCACCGTTTTGGCAATGTCTTTTATTTGGAAATTCTTAGTTTCAGGGGGGAAGAGTTTAATTGACAGAGAAACGGGTATGCTGTCCAAAGGACAAGATGAGTGGAGTGGCACTGGGGGTTAAGGCTCCAGACTTCACAGTCCTGACAGGCCCGAAGCCCAAACCCCAAATCCTACATCCTGAGTCCTGAATTTTGAGCACTGAAGATCTGCAAGCCCAAATTCCTCAACCCTACACACCTCTTGAACTCTAAACTGACAATTCCTGGCTACTGTCCACGCAGTACACAAAGTAGAATCTTACAACAATTGCAATGCTGAGGAGCTGCACAATGTTGAGGAGCTGTCATAGGGTAGGGGCAATATCCAACTTATCCCTTGACCCGACATGAACACCTAAACCCTGCCAATCCAATACCTAATCACTAACCCTCATAACCTGACCAACCCAACGCCTAATCTCCAAACCCTATGAAGCAGGCTCTAGACCGCAAATCCTAACTTACGCAGACATCAGCACTCAAGCCCGGTGCCTTCCAAGTCGATGAAGAAGTTCGGGCCGTGGATGCCTCAGAGGGTTCAGAGTTCAGGGATTAGGGCTAACGCTTTAAGACCTAGGACGTAAATACGTAAGGCAAACCCAGGACCGCCAAAACCAACCGCGAAGGGCTGGCTTACTGTTCAGAAGGGTGTTGCTTACACTGATTCATAGAATTTTCTTTCAACCATGGTTTAATTCAGGGCCTTATGGAAAGTCTAATGGCTCAGGAAGGAAAGTTGAATCTCAAGGTGCCAGCAGCCCCTGTAAGCAAGGACCACTTGAAGCCCGCGAAGGATCTAGAAAGCAGAACTCCCAGCATGCAGCGCATAGGACCCCTTAAGGGGGATCTACTGTCGAGACCCTAAATCCCACACGTGGTAAACCTCAAATGAACCTCTAGACTCTGAACCAAAAGGTTTCCTTGAGGCATTGACTCCAGGTTCGGGATCTAGGAGTGTAGAGTCCAGGGCTCTGGGTCTAGGGTCAGGGCCCGGAGGTTACGATGATTTTTTTGTGTTTGAACCTCCGTACTTGGATGGATAGATACATAGGCACATACCTATCGGCGAGTCTCGACGAGTCATTGCCCCCGACGGCGGCAGCGATCGGAATGAAACCCTCACAAAAACAGACCAGTTGCACTGAAAAAAACTTCGGCCATTTTGGAGCAGCCCTACCCACATGCTACACCCTAAGGCTTGAAACCTAAACGCTGTCCTAGCTTGAAGGAGGACAAACTCGGCCAAGCTGCCCATGGCGAACGAAATCCGATTCGCCATGATGGCCGGGGAGTTGTTCCTGGGCTGAGCTAGGGGCTGTAAGGTTTGGGCTCAGGGATCTAGGCTTTAGGGCTTGGGGGTTCATAGCAGTTCAGGATTCAAGTTGACATGAATATCAAGTCATCTTGATTCGTAACAAACAGGGACACCTTTGCCAGAAAAAAAAAGGGGGCGTGAGGTTGCGGGTCAGGGCCTGGGGCTGCCGCCTTGAGGGCTGTGGCTCTAATTAGGGTTGCGGGTTATGTTTTCAAGATAATCCAAGGATCGATGTCCCAGGTTAATGGGCTTGCAGGGATGCGTAAGGGCTTTCATAAGGACGTATGCAATGCATGTTAGGCAGTTACACTCCTCTCCAGAACCCTGCTCTTTCTGCCGTGCCCATGACTCCCGTGATTCCATGTAGATATTTGGCTGGCTCAGGGCTCTCTGGGCTTTGGGGTCTAGGGATCAGGGTTCAGGTTTAGAGAGCTATTCAGATTGAACCCTATATCAGATTATCAACCTTGTAAGAGACCATGCTAGTCGCCGTGTGACCCATCATCCGCTTAAGATGCCCAGGCCATCCTGTGAGAAACTGGAAACTCCACGCAGCAGCAGTGCAAGAACTATATTGGGGCTTTCAGAAATTAGGGGTCCATTTCTGGAGGTCCGCACAGTCAAGGACTATAACACATTAGAGTCTTTTTGGGGCGCCCTATCTATGGAAACTACTATATAGGGAATAATGCGTTCAAGTTGTTCATCTCTCTACTTGTTGCTAAGATACCTCAAGCTGAGTTAGCGACAAAGTAAATTCATTACCAGAGCCGGGGATCCCTACATAAGCACATAACATGTCCCGAATCAACTTGAAGTTTTCATCCCGATCACAGCTTAAACTCCAAACCCCTCTACACCCCAAGTTCCAATTGAATGAACACCCAAGTTGCTCTAGATTGGGAACTCCTTATGTGCCCTGATTCATGGGATCCCTGTTTCCAAGATGTTCAAACAAGGGCAACATTGAGTTGGGAGTTTCTCTCAAAAGGGGTACGCCCAGGACCTAATTCTTACACGCTAACTAGTCCGTGTGCTGTGTAAGCATTGCCAAGGAACGTGGATCCCAAAGCGCCACCACTGTCGTCCTTCCGAGTAGGGATGCAGGATTTGGGCTCTAGGCCACTGGCGGGGTTTAGCTTGCCGGTTTCAGGGTTTAGGGTTGGGGCGGTTCATGGGCCTGCTTTCTAGAGGTTCATGTGAATTCATAAAAACCAATGGTTTGGGTTCCAGAGCGTATAGAGGTGCATACACAGTAAATATGCGTAGCTTAAGCTGAAGCAAGACATATCCTACTTCAATCCTTCAACCTTCAGTTCCCTTGCTTTTGGTCGACGTCCTCCAAATTCTGTCAGGAGAGTCAAGTGAATGGATTCTTGCAGGAGATGCAGCGATTGCATCCTCTAAGCCCGAGGTTTACGGCCACGCGGTGAGGCTTAGGGATTGCAACTCTCAAGGTTTTGCGCCTTCCTGAGGGAGGACACAACATCTTAATTAATATGACCCCTACAGCCCCTTAAACTGGGTTGCAAGTTAGTTTGACAGCAGGGCTTTCGGGAGGCGCACCGGATGGTGGCAACGCTTGGCCGTCCCAAACCCGCAACCCCAGATCTGCCGCCTCAATTCTGAAAGCACTGTTTAGGTGGTTGCAGAGCTTAGGGTTCATGATTCGGGGTATAGGGGTTTCCAGATTCAAAACTCCAAACACTGAACCTTGAATAGTGAATCCTAAACTTTAAGCTCTGGAGCCCAAATCCTAAAGCTGAACCCCTAGGCCGTGAACTCCATCCCTGCTGCCTCAAATCTGAACTCCTCATCAGAAGCCCGCCCTAAATCCTAAACCCTACACTCCCACCGCCAGACCTTGGGAACTGCACCGAACTCAGGCATTCCGCCCGGACCGCCCATGAAGACACCGATGTTTTGCCTGGCTTGCTGCTTGTTGCTAATGTACCTGGTAGCGTTGAGGGTTCACGGATTGAAGTTAAGGTTTGACGCACTACGCCTCAGGCATTCGGGAGTAAGATGTTAGCACATAGCTGAAGGTACCGGAGTCGGTTTTGCGGGCTGGTGCTGGAGGTGGAGGTGGGGCATGAACATAGGAAAAACTAGTATGGGGAATTATGTCCTTCTCCGCTCTCCCTTCAGCACCAGCGGCTTCGGAAAAAAGGCTGAGGACCCTAAACCCTAAACCTGTAGACTTGGGGGTCTGCAACTCGTAAGGCTTGGCAGTTGAAGATGTCAGAGTTTGGCTGTGGGTCTTGGGTCCGCCGCTTCATAATCTCAAGACAGAAAATACTTGTTTAGGGTTAACGGGATTTGAGCAATATAAACAGAAACATGACTCAGGCTTACAGGCGACAATATTAGGGTGGGTTCTTGCACGAGTCACATTGGCCAATTGGCAGACTCAAGATCAACCTGAAATCTATAAGCCCTCTATCAGGGCTGCCCCCTAAACTCAAACTCAAACCGTCAGCAATGAACCCAATTGGCCCTAAAACCATGTCACGGGAGAACACATCCCGTGCACAAGACACTCTGCTGAAAGTCCTGCACGTCGTTACGATACTAAACTCCTATGATTCCCAAGGTTGAGGACCCTTGTGGTGATTCGTTCGGATATTGATATCAACAGAAACACATTACTTCTTCAGTTCAGGGAGTAGGGTTCAGGAGGCACTTCAAGGGGCTGCAATCGATCGCAGCATCTCCTCATTACAACTAGTATACTCAGCTACAAAACTGAACCCTAGATTCCTAGGCGCTAAACCCCCCTCCGAATGTCTGTAAGTCGTAACCCTATCACTGTTTAGGGTTCAGGGCTTCTAGGGTTTACGGGGGTAGTGGGGATTTGGGGCATACTAAAGGCCCGTGCTTTTATTTTCGCACTCGGGGCTTAGTTCTTAGTAGAGGGCTTAGGGTGCAGGATTTAGGGTTCAGGGTCTAAGGCTTCTGGCTCTTTCTCGACCTAGAGCCTCCGCTTAGGACCTGTGACAAAGTTCAAAGCAGGACGAGGCCTGGTCGGTAACAAAACTCGTGTGATGAGAGTTCTGAGGCTTGCGCATCTGAAACATGCCCAAACAGCTCAAATTCATGACGAGGTGTGCATTCACTTAACATGCTAGTGTTACTGTTGCGGGCATCCGTGCCAAGGTTCATCAGACGAGCATTTCAAACAAGTCTCGTTCGCCTTTCAGAATCATGTGTCCCTACATGACCTCACAAACACCAAGGAACTCTGACTTTTAAAAGTGTCCCTGGGCTTTGGGCAAAAAAATCCCAAGCTCATAGATGCATACGTATGCTAGAAAACAAACTCTGAATCGAATCCTAAACGCCAATCCCAGGCCTCATGATCTTTTTCTCATCCAAGCCAGCGCTGAGTGCTGTTTCATAAAAAACCTCCAAAGCCTGCCGTGTTGAGTTTCGGGATGCCTGTTTGGACATTTAGGGGTTGGGGGCGATGTAGGGGCCTAAATGGTTAGCGTGAATAGTGTCTTGGGCCATGTTGTGCTAGAGCCATATCAGAGTTGTAAGGAACTGACACTCCGGCTTGTAAGTTGCAGGGATCAGAGTTTTGGATCTTGGGTTTAGGGGTTTCTGGCTTAGAGCTTAGGGTGAGGATTCGGCACGTCACCCAAGCATGTAAACTCTCATAATTCATTACATGTGCCCTCCTTAACATGATGAATTTCCCCCCGGGGCCGTAGCAGCTTCATGTAAGTTACATGAATTCTGCATATTACTACCACCCTGAGCATTCCTGCATAAACACCAGTAAGGTTCTGAGCCATCATAACCTACGCTACCTCCATTGCGGCAGCTACACTAATTACACAGGTGACCACCTCCAACATTTCTTTGTTCAGGATTATTGCTACAGATCCAGCTTGCTGCTGGACTCTGAAGCTCCCATGACTATGCACGAGAGTAGCTAGTTATTTTGGCTACCACAGGCGAAGGCTATGTTTCAATGCCTGTTCTGGGGCTGATATTCCAGATGCTGCTTTGATTCAGAAGTTCCGCGACTCCTAGTGGAAATCTCCTGCTAATCCGATCGTAAATTCTCCTCAGGCAGTATCCTGAAATCCAACACATTCTGGGGATGGTTCCTCGAAAGCTAGCAGGTTTCAAAGAAAATGTGTTGATCTGTAGGTGTCGCCTAGTTGCACCAGCAACCTAGGATCCCAAACCGGCACGTTTGCTGTGAAACCCATATTGCGTGCCGGCAGCCCCCGAACAATACCCTAAAACCAACGCCCTTTCATGTGGAAGTCCGATGAGGTTGCTGATAATGCTCCAGTGTAAACAATTTAACACTATAGCTGACCCTTTTCACCTCCAAATTCATAGACTGAATGTACTTATTTGAGGATCAGTCCGCATACTGTAGTCCCTACCAAGCCTTGTACTACACAAGCCTCCATATACCCACCACCTTCCCTTATTCCCTTTAACACGACTGCTACGGCAGCTAACACTATAGAGGCCTCAAGAGGCACAACATCATGTTGAGGTCCATGCGAGGTACCCACATACAATAATATTTGATTACTGCCCATAAGACCTACATAAACGGCTGAATCATCCCAGTGTCCACATCATCTTCCATGCCTTTTCCCTTACATTCTCCATTGTTGGAATTTGTCTAGGCCACTCGACATTACTTGCTTACTTGGCTTCTCAGGTCCTCACGGATCCTAGAGCACTAACATACGTTGGGAGTTTGCCTAGATAACTGTTCCGGAAATGTGAAGAAACCATGTGAGTAGCGCAAGAGTTCGTTCTGCTAATGTCCTATGAAATAGATTACCCAAAAAGGAGGATGTAATGTTGCTCTACACTAGGGAGTATAGTAACGTACCCCTAGTAAATACTACTCACAGAGGGATAACAACACTCATTTGGGGAACTCGAGGTATACAGGGTCCTTCTTGATTTCGCTCTCTGAAAAACCCTTTTTGGGGCTACCCTGAATCCTTTAGCCAAGCGTCCCTACAAACCCTACAGCCTAACTCTAAGCTATAGACCTTCAGCCCTAAAGCCTTTAACCTTTTCCTCTCAACCCTAATCCCCGAAGCCCCAACTCTGAACCTCTAGAGCATGACCTTGATTTGTTTTTCCGGCCTGTCGCTGGTTCGGGTCCATACCACCTGCCTCCAGGTTACTGATCCTCGTCTGTTGAGCGTCGAGCATGGCTTGAGGCCGTTTAGGTTTCCTTGTTTAGGACCATGGGTTTCGGATTTAGGGGTTAGGATTTACACTTTAAGGCAAGTGGTTTAGGATAAAGAGCTTGGGATTTTGGGCTTACAGAGGTTTAGGTGTGCTTATGGGTCTGTCGCAGCCTTGGGTGGAGGGTTCTGGATTTCGGGCTTTGGCTTAGCGGCCTGGGGCTAAGAGTTTGGGGATTGAGGCGAGGGGTTCCTCTGAAGGCGGTATACAAATTACATGTGTTACATGTATATATTACTACAGTAAAGGAAAGCTTCAAGGGAGACCACTAGTACTTCCCCAGGCTCACAACTACAAGTAAGACGAGGAGATACACCTACAATAATGCTTAGTGTCCACCCGAAACCCTGAAACCCTAAACTTTATACTTAATCTGAAGCCCCTAAACAATATACTTCAGTACAACGGTACGGTTCGAGGCCCCTGGGCCCGGCGTGCATAAACTTAGTGGTGATGTTCAGGTTTAGCATTTGAGTGAAGGAGAAAAGACAAGAACTAGTACTGTGATGCACTCCCACCATCACCGGCAAAGAAACCAAGACGGATGCTGAGACTCGATGGACATATTTCTGCATGACCCAATATAAGTATGTACTCAAAGACTAGGCAGTGTGGTACGAACGTGGGTAGTACAGCACACCTGTAATCATGCACAGTTCTATACAGCAAGTGTGAATTACTAATCCAGATGGTCTCTTGTAAGGATTCTTCAATATTGCGATGTGGGGGACGGTGTTTCATCTTGCGGGAATTAAAGGGACTCTACTGGGAAACCCCAAACAGGGAACCCC